TGTAAATAAACTTTGGCTAGAACTATTGAGTAAAACATGAAAAAGTGCACGTTTCCAACAAAAATCTCGGAAGCGTCCTTAATAGCACAGCAGACGTTACAGTGAACTCTCATTTTATCTTTCTGTCATATAGAACCATCTTAACCTAAAATAAGTTTATTTGAATAACCTTTCCAGAAATGATACTGCTGTTGATTATGATGGCTTATCACATTACCTTATTAAATCGAATTCCCCAATTAAGTCATTTTTTAAGAAGTTTGCTGTGCAGTCAGTTTAATACGCACCTGCATCTAACTGACGATATCAAGATGTTATTCTGTTAGATACCGGTAGATCAACGCAAACCTGAAACCATCTATAATGATGACACAGTATACACAAAAATCTACCTTGTAATTATTTTCAATAATATAAATAAATTTTACATTTATTTAGTGTCATTCGTAAGCGTGCTACGTAAAAGAATTTAGTTGGGTAGGAACCCGAGCAAGAGTTGACCGTTCCCCTTTTTCTTTCCTTCTATGTATATGTTGCCCACATTGGTAATTACTACGTCAAATCTTCTGTTTATAGGTGTTGCGTTCACGGCTAGCATCGCTGGCGGCATAAGCACAACGGTTGCCGTTTTCTGCCACGAGCTCCCGCATGAACTTGGTATGTTAAATCGACTCAAATCTATTTTTAGAGCTTATCATCCCATTTAGATTTCCAGGGCAGAATTGAGTTATAAGCTAAATGAACCGTCAGTTATTTAAGTAAAGTGCATTGTGAATAATGAAATACTGTCTGGTCTTTTCGTACTTTGTTTTCCTATGTGGCACACATTCACACTTCTGTGCGGATATCGTCAAGTGTTTTTTTTAATTTTTCCTTAGCTTTGCTAGATATTTAGAACCCAGTCAAGTCATTTCTATGTAAATGGTGTCCATAGGATAATCAACTACAATGCCTATATGCTATCTGCATGGTTTTTGCAGTAAATAAGACATTAAGCTGAATACAACAAAAATAGTTTTCTC